CGAGATCCCGTACCTTCTTCTCAAGACGCAGACGCTCCTCGTTCTCGAGCTCATCGACGCCGTCATCGTCAAGACCGCCGCCGCCCTCGGTCGACTTACGACTGCGCAGGCGCGTGTTCTCGCTCTCAAGGCTCTCGACGCGGGCCTTAAGCTCGCTGACCTCCTTCTCCGCGCGCTCCTTCTCCTTGCGCAGAGTCTGGGTACGCGAGTCCTGTTCCTTGTGAAGGGTCGTCAGAGTCGTCACCTTCTTCTCGAAGCCATCGGCCTTCTTCTCGGCCTCGAGGCGCGCATCGATAGCATCAGCGAGCTCGTGCTCGAGCGTGCGGAGTTTCGTCTCGGCGGATGTGCGCTCGCTGCCTTCCCGAACAGCCTTCTCGGCGGTGCGGTCGAGGTTCTTGCGCAGGTCTGCCAGCTCGTTCTGGGCTTGAGCGGCGGCCTTTTCGGAGCGGGCAAGCTTGTCTTCGAGGGCGGCGATTTGTTCGCGCTCGGAGGAGGTACCGCTTGCTTGGCGGTCGACTTGGGCGCGCAGCTTAGAGATCTCGATTTCCATGGACTCGATCGTCGAGGTCTTGGACGCCAGCTGGGCTTCGAGTACGGCGGGGGGCGAAGACATGGAAACGGAAGGTGATGAGCCGTGACGGCCCCCGGAGCGGGAGGCCTGTTGCTGCAGTTGAGAGTTTTGGCGTTGAAGAGCCTCGATCTCGGATTTCTTATTGTGATTGTCAGATGACTGGTACAAAGATCTCGGGAGGTTGTAACACAACTTACCAGCTTCTCAACCTGGCTTTCCGCCCCATTGCTCCCCCCCTCGGTCTCGCGCAAGTCCGCCAACTCCTCCTCGGCCTTCTTCCATCTCTTCTCGGAGTCTGTTGATTCCTTTGTAAGACGCTTGTTCTCCTTCTCAAGCTCCTCTATGCGAGCGACTTGCTTCCGGTAGATGTCGGTTGCGGTTTCGCCCTCGGGACCCTGTGCTCCCGGTGAAAGGGGGCCTGTGGAAATAGAGCCTTGTCTGAAGGAAGCTGACCTGAGCTTCGATTGTTGAGCTAGTGATGGCTGGGAGGCGGTTGGAGATGTAGGCTGCTCGGCGACGGCTTCAGACGCCTCCTTTTCCTCCGCCTTCTCGTCCTCGTTGGCGGTCTCGGCGGGCGTGGTGGGTTCGGGTTCGGCTTCGTCTGCCTTGGAAGCACTGGGCTCTGCCGCGGTCGCTTCTCCCTTCTCCTTCTTTGTGGTGCCGGCCTTCTTGGTCTTCTTCTTCTTCAACTCCTCTACCTGCAAGAAGGTCAGCAAGGTGGGGGTGCAATGGAACGTTGGCCGCCGCATACCCTCTTCTTGGCTGCGGCCAGCTTCGCCGCCTTGTCATCGTCGGCCATGATGACTTTTGGAGTGTTAAGACTTGTCGGTAGTTTGTGAGGAAAGGTTGCCGGTTCTCGTGCTGCGAGGGAGCTGTCAAAGCACGTCGTCGAATGTCGGATGAGGAATGCGATGGTCGCAAATTGGACGGTTTGGACGGTTTGGCCTGCTGCAGGAGCTTGCTTAGCTGTCCACTCGTGTCAGGAACAAGCCACATTCCATGGCTTGTGGTGCAGTGGTGCCCGGCAGGGGCCTTCCCCAATGACGGAGGCGGACAAAGGCTACAGCTGCCAGGCGTCGAGAATGTACGCTAAAGTTACAGGGGACAACGTTCTTGTGTTTGAGAAACACCACCACAACTTGCGAACATCAACAACACGTCGACTTTCCCTGCTTCCGAGAAGTCAACAAGCTCGATGCAAGCAAGGAATTTCCAGCGTTATCGCCCACTTCACGCTCAATGGAGCCGAAATAGCGATACACAACGGCTCATGAATAGAAATGAGAGCCCAGACTGCAGATATCCACATAAACACCAATGTCAACGCGCAATGCTTTCGTTGCCACCAGCGACCTTCACCGTTGACCACCAGTCGATCCAAAATATTGACGAGGCTCCAACATTGGGACCAATGGCCAACCTCAAGAGATAAGACGTGCCAGCGGGCCAAGCGGATCGCAACAAATGCATACGCAGTACTGCAGCGAACTGCCTCCTGTCACATCTCACGGCGGTCCATTCCCTATTTTAGCCGTGACTTGATTGGCAAAGTCCCCGTCGTTTCGGCTGCACTAGAATCCAGCTGGCACTTGCCAGCAGCCTGATATGGACTGCTACGAATAGACGCATCCGCAGAATGGACCTCTCGAACCAAGGGCGCTCACTGCCTGGGTAGCCTACCAACAAGGGAACGCAACAGTAACAGACAAGGATCTCTCTCGTTCGTCAGAAGTCAGAACACCCCGGGACAAGGCGACTTAGCTCATTCAGGATCGTCGGAGCTGCCGCAGCAACACCCTTTTGAACTCTATGCAGCTCAGACGGTCCAGAGACCGTGGTATACTAAGAAGCTGACATACCACCCAAACCAAATGCTCATCTTACTCTCCTTCAACCCCCCAGCGCGCGCTGGAGGAGGGTCCATCACAACACTAGGTCGTTGACGGCAGGAGTTCGTCATGGGCCAGTGCGTATCGAGAACCGGTGGCGGGGGCGACGGCGATGGCAAAAACAACACAAGTCCTGCGAGCTCCAGCAAACCTGAACCCCGCTGTCTGGCGTCTGGCTGTCCGAGAACCTGCGATCCGTCTTCAAGGTCGCGATACTGCACACAACATGCCCAACTGTGCAGGAGGCAGGGATGTTCGAAGCTACGATATCGAAAGGGTCCATACTGTCAAGAACACCTGCGTGAGTTGTTCCCACTCCCACCAGCCCACTTCTCAAGGTTTACATCGCTGACCTCTGGAGGCAGATACGTGTCGTGCGTCTAGGTGTTCAAATGACCAAGCCAAATTGATGGATGCATGGTTTACCAATAACTTTTGTCTTGAGCACCAAGGCGAAGAGGTCCTACGCGCTTATTTCTACGGCGATTCCGTACTGCCCGAACCGGCGTCTGGGGCGCAGGTCGTCGCCCATCAACCACGCGCTCGCAAGCGTCGCTCGCGACAGAGATCGAAGTCTGATCCTGTTCCAGTCCCAATCCCAGAGACCCCCGACAGCTCAGAAGAATCCTCAGACGACGAAGTCCCCCCGGCTACTGGCCACCGATCATCAACAGTGCTCCCGACCGTGGGAGAGGAGAGTGACGACAGTGATGGCCCGCAACGAGCCACCACCCCAAAGCCTGCAGAGGAGCAGAGGGACGACACGCCGCCTGCAACCCCTCGCCGCAGCCAAAAGACGGTCCACTTTGCGGACTCACCTCCGCGGCCCTCCTCCCCTGAGAAACGCCCAGCTGTGAGCGCCGACGTCTGGGCAGCAGAGCCCAGGAACCAGTCGCCTCCTCAACTTCGATCCTCAAGACGCCGCCGTCGTGTTGATAACAGGCACGCACCGCCTAGGGCTTCAAGCAACTCGGTGATCGCATCGTCCCATGGCCGCGAGAAGCGCTACCACCCCAGCACCCCCAAAACAGCCGACGTGAAGCGATCCCCGAGAACAAGGTCCAATCGCTGAGCAAAACGAAACCCAGGCCCCCCCTTAGCGCAAGCGAGCTACAACCCCCAGCCCAGCCAGCCGTTGCGTCACGGCATAACATAAGCCAGCTGTCTCAACCAAAACTCACTATCATACGATGGCGGAATCCCTATCAATTTTCTGCACCTTCAGTGGGGGCCGCGGCCTAAAGACGTAAGATAATGCCCGCGTCAAAGATACAGTGGTAATTATCTCTCAACGGGCGGTAGAATCGGTTCCACCTTTTGGCGTCGGGCACGGCATTTGGCGGGGTAATGGCGGGGTACGGCGCGAACAGGGCGCTACAAACCACCTCATGGCCGAACTGTACCATCCTCAATCCTCAATCCCGCGCAAAACCGCACATTCTCGCCAGCTTCACCCAACATCTCTCTCGCCTCAACCTGCGATATCTCACTGGCCTTTCACTATCTCACACGTACCTACTACGATAGTCTGCGGTCTTCGATCCCATACGCCCTCCGTTCAGCGACCGACACAATGGCCTCTCTACCTGCACAACATCCGTCTCTAGCGCTACACCTAACAGACCGCGCCCTCAACCCGATCCTCACCTCGGCGCACTCCCAATCCCAGCTTGAGGCCCTCACATCGCTGACGACGACCTCCCTCACCGCGCACGCCGCCGCAACCCGCTTCTCCCTCGGCCCCGCCCAGCGCATCATCGTCGAGCACGGCCCCGGCAGCCCCGTCGTCCTCTCCTCCTTCCTCAACGGCGCCGACGCCCTCCCCAACGGCGGCGAGACCTCCGCTGCTGCCTCAGCCGCTGCCGCCGCCGCCGCGACCAGCAACAATACTCCTACCGCGTCGAGACCCACCACCTCGGGGCCTTCTTCCGCGACGGCCGCGACGCCGGGCGGCGCTGCCCAGGGTGCTGCTGATACCAAGACGAACGACGCAGAGAACGCCGCCCCGATGCTCGTTGGCGTCGTGGTTGCTGCGACAGGCGAGGAGGCCATGGAGGCCCGTCGTGCCGCGGGACGTTTGGAGAGGGTGGGACGCGAGTTCCAGAGGGAATGGGCCGCTGAAGAAGGGACTGCTGCTGCGGAGGGGAGTCAGTGAAAGCCCATGCAGGCCTTGCGAGATTTCTAAATCTGTGGTCGGGAGAGGAGCGAAAGAAAACGGCTCCCAAAGTTGACAGCGCAATCTGGCGCGCACGATGGCCGGGCGGGCAGGATGATGGATGGCATTTGGTTTTGACGAGGATATGAGGGAAACGAGACCATGCGTCACATGAAGGGTCCGGCACGGAACGAACCATCAGGGTCACAGGATAGGCGTTCGGGCAGGCAGGCATTTTTGCGCGTTAATCATAATCTTTGATTTTGACGGTCTCTATATACCGAGCTTCATTTTACCCGTAACGTCCATCGCCGCGTTAAAAAAAAAAAAAAAAAAGGGAACCATCTCGCCAATTAACCAATTTCTACCCATTTATATAACCGCTTTAAATGATCTGCTGGAAAGCACGGTTGACAGGAGAGCGGACGTTGGGAACGCTCTTCCAGAAGTCGACGGTGGCAACCGCACGCTTGGAGATGCCCTCGGGGGTGAACTCGAACTTCTGCAGAGATTGTTAGCAAAGATTGTAAAAAATAGCCACGATGAGAGCAACTTGCCTTGTAGACGTCCTTATAAGGTCCGGAAGCACCGAAGCGGTTGATACCGAACTGCTCGTGAGAGAAGCGCTCCCAGCCGAGAGTGCTCATGACCTCAACGGACATGATGGGGTGGCCGTCGGGAAGGACGGAGAGCTTGTACTCCTTGGACTGGGCCTCGAAGACCTCAGTGCAGGGCATGGAGACGACACGGGCAGTGAGGTTGTGCTTCTCCTTGAGGTACTTGACGGCATCAACGCAGATGCAGACCTCGGAACCGGTGGAGACGAGGGTGACGTCGGCGTTCTCGGCCTCGTGCAGGACGTAACCACCCTTGATGGCCTTCTCGATGACGGAGCCCTCAAGCTGGGGCAGGTTCTGGCGAGAGAGGGCGATGATGGAGGGAGTGTGCTTGGAGGTCAGGGCAACGTAGTAGGCGGCAGAGGTCTCGTTACCATCGGCAGGGCGCCAGACCATGTTGTTGGGGAGGGCACGGAAGTGGGCGAGGGTCTCGATAGGCTGGTGAGTAGGGCCGTCCTCACCAAGACCGATGGAGTCGTGGGTGGCAACCCAGATGGCGCGAACCTGGGAGAGGGCGGTAAGACGGACGGCACCGGCGGCGTAGGAGACGAAGTTGAGGAAGGTACCGCCGTAGGGGAGGATGGTGCCGTAGGCAGCGAGACCGTTCATGATGGCACCCATGGCGTGCTCACGGACACCGTAGCGGATGTAGCGACCAGAGTAGTCACCAAGGCCGGTGGAGGGGGCCTGGAAGTCGACGGCGGCCTTCCAGCGGGTCAGGTTGGAGCCAGTCAAGTCGGCAGAACCACCGACAAGCTCGGGAATGACGCTCTCGATCTTGGCCAGGACAGTCTCGGAAAGCTTGCGAGAAGCGATGGCGGGGTCGGCGGGGGTGTAGACGGGCAGAGCCTTCTCCCAGCCCTCGGGGAGCTCGCCGGTGAGACGGCGGTGGAGGTCCTTGGCCTCGTTGGGGTACTTCTCGGCGTACGAGTTGAGGAGCTTGTTCCACTCCTGCTCGGCAGCAGCACCCTCGGCGGCGTGCGCGTTGTACTGGTCGTAGACCTCCTGGGGAACGACGAAAGACTGCTCGGGGTTGAAGCCGAACTTCTCCTTGAGCTGCTTGATGTCGTCAGCCTTGAGGGGAGAGCCGTGGACACCGTGGGTGCCCTGCTGGAGGGAGCCGAAACCAATGATGGTCTTGAGCTGGATGAGGGTGGGCTTGTCCTTGGACTTCTGAGCCTGGGCAATGGCCTTCTCGATGCTGTCGAGGTCGCTGTTGCCGTCCTCGACGGTGAGGACCTCCCAGCCGAAGGCCTCGTAGCGCTTGACAACGTCCTCAGTGAAGGCGACGTTGGTGTCACCGTCAATGGAGATGTGGTTGTCGTCCCAGATGGCAATCAGGTTGCCGAGCTGGAGGTGACCAGCCAGGGAGGAGGCCTCACCGGAGACACCCTCCATCAAGCAACCATCACCGAGGAAGCAGTATGTGTAGTTGTCGGAAACGGTGAAGTTGTCCTTGTTGTAGACGGCGGCGGTGTGAGCCTGGGCGATGGCCAGACCAACAGCGTTGCAGATACCCTGACCGAGAGGGCCAGTGGTGACCTCAACACCGGGGGTGTCGTGAGCCTCGGGGTGGCCGGGGGTGATGCTGTCGACCGTCTTCGGAGGGGTAAGCAATTGCTTGGGCATTGAACGTCACTAGATACTTACGCGGAACTTCTTCAGGTCGTCGATGGAGACGCCGTAGCCGAAGAGGTGGAGGAGGGCATACTGGAGCATGCAGCCGTGTCCGTTGCTGAGGGATTGGTCAGCCCATGGGTCCGGCGGAGATGTGAGCTCGGAGATCGAGCGAGGGACTTACGAGAGGACAAAGCGATCACGGTTCGCCCACTTGGGGTTCTTGGGGTTGAACTTCATGAACTTGTTGAACAGAACGTGGGCGACCGGCGCCATACCCCTGGAGACGGCTTGTCAGTTTTCTGTTCGGGGTTCTCATCAAAAGCGCGCATCGTGGGGGAGCACATACATGGGCGCACCGGGGTGGCCGGAGTTGCTGTTGAAGGTGGCATCGACCTGGAGTGAACATTGTCAGCCGTAGCTCCGGTGAAGCTGCTTCTCGCGATGGCGATTGCGTGGTTGCGAGCAGTCCTCATCATGCCACCGCCAATGGGCTGGCAATGGCGGGGTCGAGAGACAAATCTCAACAACAACGGTGGCGGGGTAAAATCTGGCGGGGAGGATGAAACTCACGGCCAACAGGCGGATCGTGTTGATCGCCTTCCAGTCTTGCTCGGTGTAACCCATGGTGTCTGATTTCTGCGTTCTTCCAAGAGAGAAACTCGGTCAAGGAGGAAGAGGAGATGGATGGGAAAAGGTAGGAAAAAGTTGGGAGGCAGCGGTAGAAATACAAACGGGACGTCTGAGAGAGGAGACGGAGAAGGGGCGGTGGTATGTGTCTACTGCATGCACCTCAGTGTTTGGCCGCAAGGCAATTATTGAGCACCTGGTGGGGACCTTGACGTGGGAGTGGACAGTGGAACATGGAGGGGTGAGGTACATTGACTGCACCTGTGCTTGATGGAGGGGGATGGAGGGGCAACACCTCAGACGGGCAGACAGAGACAGAGACAGAAACAGACCACCCACTGCCGCTGCCTCCCTCACACCAGACGTGGGCTGGACGTGCAGGCTACCGTGGAATGTGTTCCGAAGTATTCTCTCCATGTTTTGGTGTGTTGACTTCTTCCATCTCAGGCAAGGCAGTGCGCCATACAGCACCTTCCATTACCTTACTTACTGATGTGTTCCGCGGGAGGCACCTCACGTAAGTGCCCTACTTGGCAAGGTATCGTCAAAGGTAAGCTCGAGCCACAGCATCGGAAAGAGCTTCGTTCGCTGTGGAAGGAGACCTACGACGGCAGCCAGAGGTACATCTCGTCTACAGCTAACGTCATACCACGACGGGGTACCTTGAGCTCTGTCGACTGTCACCAGCTAGCTTCCTAGCCTCTAGGTACCTTAAGGCAGGTAGGAAGGTAGGTGCGTTGCACGGCGGCGGGATGCCCGGCGGCATACCGCCCCCCGGTGCCGCTTTCCCCCATCCCATGGAACTCGCCCTCGACGTCCATTGATGCACCTTACTCTTTCCGCTCCCAATCTCCCGGCTCAACCCAATATTCCCAGGGCAGAAACTGGCATCACCACCAGGGCGAAAAAGTCACGCATATCACGTTCTTCCAGAAGCACCCCCATACAATCTTCACATGAAGTGGGGGTGGGGTACACTTGGCCTGTCGTGTTTTTTTTTGACGCTGTTCCCCAATTTTCCGGTCTTGTCCTTGGCCGGCAGGACGGCGGTGCAGGCTTCAGCTCGTCTCAACCATCTTGAACGCTGTGGACTGACCTTGCCTGGATGCGTCTGTATGAAATGCTGGCAGTTCTTGCCCCTCTCCCAGGTCTTCCGTGGCTGGCCCAGCCCACCGCCATTGGTGGCTTTCGCCCAAGTCACCGTCCAAAAGTGGTGTACTTCACCCGCCGACGACAGCGAATTTCGAATTCCAATTCACCCGGCAACCCCTGCGAGGCAAAAATGCCTGGCCCAAATTCAACCTCCCGTCTGCGCTCTCGGTGCTTATGCCGACTGACCCTACCGACGTCGGTCTGACACCTAGAAAGGCAATCCCACCTCGACGAATCATACCGCCATCGCCCGCTGTAGGGCATCTTTCTCAGTCAGCAACCACCAGACGTATCACATTTTTAACAGTGACGTCGTTTTCGACATTCGCAAGAGTCAGTTCATGTCGATGAGCTTCACTCGATGCCACCGTTGACTCGTGCGAACGACCAACGGCTCCGATGGATCGTCATCCAGAAAAACTGTCGTCATAATGCCCACAACGCGTCGCCTGGGTCCCCCTTCGGCATCTCTCCTCTGGCAACTTCGGCTTCGCCTTGACTAATCCATGGAGCACTGGAGACGTTCGAACGTGCCTGGATCATCGATATCGATTCTGTTTGGGTATCTCCGGCCCACACCGGAGTGAGCTGGAGCAAGCACGCTGGAGTCTGCAAGGCCGATGCCCCTCCGCCTCCCGCCAGTAGGCTCCGTCTATTTATTCACTCACGATGCTGCCGCGTCGGCCATAGGCCCAGAGACCTCCGGACTTTAAGCCTCGTCTGAGGTACACCGTCGCCCAGGGAGAGCCAAGCGCCGAAAATACTCTTCTGCGAGACCTTTGCCAGGACCTCCCAGCGCTTCCCGGGCCCCTTGCTGCGACCTGCCTCTCGCTCGCGCTGTTTCAAGCGGGCGACGCGGATAAGCTCTGGCCCCTCCCCATCACCACGCCCGCCTATGTAGCATCCCCTGGTCGAATCTCGTGCTGAGATCCAGTCATGTTAGTGGACCCTGACTGCATAATGACACCTTCGTGTCCCTCTGGCTGAGTCTTGGCCCCTCTGATTTTTTTCCCTCGTCTGAGGTCGCAGCCTTTCCTAGTGAGGGATCCAACGACCCCTCCATACAGGCCGCGCCTCGCGTCCCAAGATGCGCGACATCCGTGGCATGGCCAAGAATGAGGGCAGGATTTCAAGTCTCGACAGAAACTCTGTTCCTGAGTGACGGCAAACGGTGGCCAAACGCCGAAGAATATTCTTCTTCGCTGGACACCCGCGCCATTCATACAAGTGCATGTATGCAACAGCCGACGGTGCATCAACTGCAGAGATAGAAGAGAGGGGGAAAAAAAAAAGAATTCAAACCCCGGCGTGTATCAGAACGCGGAACTCGGGGACGGCAGAATGCACGCCGTGACCGTTTAAAATGCGCGATGCCACAAGGCCTTTTTCAACCGTTTTCTGCCTGGCTGCTCACCTGCCCCGAGACTTTTTTACTTCTCTTGACTGAGAGAGGCTGGCTATCCTCCAATTCTCAACAGCTGTGCTCCGGCGCCGGTGAGCACGGGTCACCCGCCTGGGATACAGCCAGTTTCGTATTTATCCGCACAAATCAAGGCGGCCCCAGGCCCAAGCTCCCGCTTCCCTGCGGATGACATCAAGCCTCTCCACCCGCATATCCGCCACTCCAGCCGACAATGTATCCGTCGCCGGGTTGAGATTCAGCGGAGGAAGCTGCGAAAAGTTCTTCAGTTCGGGATAGAATATCGAGAGCCGCGCTTGCATCATCTCAGGGGCCTTTGGTTATCGAACTCGGCCTCACTTTTCGAGATTCGGGCCTACTCCTCAACTGCCGGCGTCTGCGTACGGAAGCATTCCGAGGCATGAATTGACGTCGTCAAAGATCGACTGCATGCTCTGCCACGAATCACATCAGCGCTGATACTAATGCCAGGTCCATTTGTCAAGTCGCCTCATGATTGTCGATTTTTCGTAGTATGTCAGTGCATCACGAGGCTTCACTCGGTCTCAGTTGGTGAGAGTGAGCTCTCATGCGTATTCTCACCATACACTAGTGTCTGTCACTCAACCACAGGTGAAAACGGGCGGTGTGGATCCTGCCCGATTGAGTTTTCGCCTCACCCAGACCACAACCACCATCAGCTTCACAAACTTCAAGATAGCTTCCACCATAGCCAGAATTCAATTTCACATTCAGCACCACGGAGTTCATTTCAGCCTCGCCCGTGAACTACGCCTCTCACAACCTCCAGCCTCGCGTTCGTCTCGTCTCACGACACAACCACCCATTACCCCGCCACAAACCCCTCCACCCCTCCCAATCTCAACATCACAAGCATATCAAAATGCCGAGAGAAAAGAACATGTCCAGGGACAACATGTCCATGCCCAAAAAGCAGGCCAAAAAGCCCTCCAAACCACAAAAGCAAAAACCAAAGCAGCCACCCAAACAGCAGCCCACACAATCCTCATCCTCATCCTCTGCCGCCGCCGCCGCCGTCCCCTCGCTGCCCGTTCCTCTCCAGCAACGCCTCCTCGACACCTTCAACGCAGCCTTCTCCCCCGTCCTCGCCTCCCCGTCCTTCCCCGCCCTCCTCCAGGAGGTCAAGGCCGCCCTCTACGCCCGCGACTTCGACGCCGCCTTCGCCAACGCCGCCCCGGACTCCCTCGACGCCTACGCCGCCCGCTGGAGCCCCACGCGCGCGCTGGGCTACGCCGGCGTGCTGCTCGCCGTCGGGGAGTATTTGGAAGAGGCGCATCTCATCCGGGACGGTGCCGGCTCCGATGATGGGGCCGCCGCCGCCGCCGAGTCGGAGGAGGAGGAACCCGCCGACGGCAAGCCGGAAACCCAAGCCCAGGCCCAAAGGACGATAAAGATGCTCTCCATCGGCGGCGGCGCGGCCGAGATAGCCTCCTTCGGCGCCTACCTCTCCACGCACGCCCCGTCTCTCGCGGGACACGTCCACCTCCTCGACTCGGCGCCGTGGGGCCCCGTGGTGACCAAGCTGCAACACGCGCTCGCCACGCCGCCGCCGCTCTCGAAGTACGCCAACGCGGCGGCGAGAGCCTCCAACGCGGCGCTGCTCCCCGCGTCGCACCTCACAGCGACCTTCACGCAGCGCGACGTGCTGTCCATGTCACGCGACGAACTGGGCTCCGCGCTCGGCAACGACGTATTATTGGTCACATTACTATTCACCCTCAACGAGCTCTACACCTCTGCGGGCATAGGCAAGACGACCGCGTTCCTGCTGAACTTGAGCGCCACGATCCCCTCGGGGAGTCTGCTGCTGGTCGTCGACAGTCCCGGGAGCTACTCGGAAGCCGCCGTGGGGAAGGAGTCCAAGAAGTACCCCATGCAGTGGCTGCTCGACCACACGCTCCGCAAGGACGATAAGCCCGTGGAGGGGTGTCTGTGGGTGAAGGTGGAGTCGCACGACTCCGTGTGGTTCCGGCTGGCCGAGGGCCTGCGCTACCCCATCTCTTTGGAAAACATGCGCTATCAAATGCACCTCTACCGCGCCACAAGGCCCTGAACGCCGGCGAAACAAAAGGGATAAAAAAGGAAGGGCGGACATCTATGAATGAAAAGGAAAAAAATGCTTCTATGCCCATACAAGTCTTTTGATGGAGTAGCTCAGGTGGTCTAAAAGCCCAGTGCTCTGTCTCGCTTCCTCCAAGGAAATGATGTCGCCTTTCTCGATGATGCTCTCGGTGCCGGGCCTCTCTTTGCCCGGCTGGCTGAGGAATGCCAAGCGCTCGACTTCGGCGCAGATGCTGACGACCTGCTGGATCTCGCTCATCTTCGGCCCATCCCCGGTGACCGCCGCGGAGGACTGGGAGTACGGCGCCTTGAAGGCGACCTTTCGGATCGGCGGGGCCTTGGGGCGACCGCCGCCGAGGAGACTGCTCAAGGCAGACTGTGCAGGTTGTGCTGCGTGAGGATGCTGGTGCTCCTCGGTGCTCGAAGTCTTGCTGCGCTTGACGCCCAAGTTGGAAAACGTTCTGGTGTTGGTCCTGGTGACGTCGTTCTTGCCGGGTTGGTACGACACCACGAAGCCGACGTTCTTCGTCTCGTCCGTCTGGCCCGGGGAGACGGTCGAGATGATGTACGTGCCAAATTTGATGCCTACGACGTGCGCGAGGTCGATGCGCTCAAAGGAGGAGACCTTGTCGAGGTTCCAATCGAAGCGGCAGAGGTACAGAGCGGCGTCGGTCAGGAGAAGGACAACCTCTTCGAAGGGAAGAGATCGCAGATTGTCGGATGTGTGAGGGCTGAAGAGAACCCAGCCGCCCATGAACTCTTCGCTCTCGTCTGAGATGACACGTCTTTGGGAGAGCTCGATGGCTTGTTCTCGCATCTTTAGCATGGAAACGGCGGGGTCCTTGGTCATCATCTCGGCTTCGAATTCCTGGAAGACCATGGAATTGACGTTGCCGAGCAGGAAATCGATGGCAGCTTGGCTAAAGTAGTCATTGACCATGCTGGGCTGTGTTAGCGAGCGAAAGATAAAAAACGAATAGAGCTTACCCGTTGTAAAAGCGTGTCATTGAAAGACCAAGATCATTAAGAGCTCCGCCGAGGTTCCTCTTCTTCGTCCTCGTGTAATCGCCCTTCATAGCGGCTGTTGATGCGTACTGTTTCGAAATGGCGTCTCCGTTGTCTGCCCACAGCGTGTTGAACCAAGGGGTCTGCTGGTCAACTTGGGCAGCAAGATCATATCCTTCCGCCTTGAGCTGACTCTCCAACATGTACTTGCCGAACGAGCTCTGGCAGACATTTGTTCTATCCAGGCAGTCCATGCAATTGGTGCGAAGAACGCCCTGCTGTTTTGTAGAAATCTTGCCGGCTTCTTCGACGGTGCTGCCGAAATTGTCCAACTTGTCGCGGAGATCATCGAGAAGCAGACTGACGTTCTCGAATTTCATTCCACGGCACGCAGCATGGAAATCGAACCATTCAAAGGGAACCGCGGCATTCTCACCCGTGAAGACTTCCTCGTTCAGCCTTTCCAGCGTCTTCTCGTACTGGCCTCCGAGCGTCGACTCCACGCCGTGCTTTTCCACCAAGTTGACGATCTGCAAGCCGCCGTACTCCGTCGTCAAACGCTCGAAATGCTTCTTGGCTGCGGCATAGTTTGCTTCGGGTGAGTGCTGAATGAGGGGCGCAGGCTTCAGGGAGTATGGCGACTGAGTAAAGAATAGTGGAATACTACCGCGAATCTGAAGGAACGAGTAAATCTTTGAAGACTTGTCCCAGGTTGTGCTGGACAGAATCTGCTCTGTCTCGACGGCGTTCGCGACATATCCCTGCTCGTCGATGCCGCGTCTGAGATATCGCAAACCAGCTCTTTGCGTAGACCGGCGTGAGATCACGGTCAGGAGGAACTTCTTCTCAGTAGGGCGAAGATCGATAGAGTTCCGGACGGTTTCCGTCGGCGGAGAAGTTGGTTCGGAGCTGGGCTGTCGGATTGTTGACATCTCTACAGAGTCTCCAAGACTATTGTCTGTCTGCGGGGGACTGCTGTCCACTACAAAGTGCCGCTGGCCAACGAAGCCCTGCATTAGGGGTAGCAGAAGTGACTCTTCGGCTTTCATGAAAGGCCTCAGAGTATTCTTGTTCCAAAAGAACATGGGGTCGACGCGGGTGTGCAAAGGCACTTCGTCAGACTGCAACCTCGAGTCATTTGCCCATCGCCGAGTGATGTCGACATCGTACGAGAAGTAGAAGCTACGCGATGACCCAAAGAAGATCTGGGTCATTCTGAGGAGCTTTGGAAGCAAAGTCGACGTCGGCACGGGTTCGTCGGAGTCGTTTATGGCTGAACTAGAGGCCGCATTGGCAGCGGCAGCATGATCGACGGAGCGACGAACCTGGTCCGCAGTGCCGCTCCATCCTGCATTCCTTTTCTGATCTTGAGTCCATCCACTCTTACTGAACCATCTCTGCGCGAACCTTCCGTAGCTACCTCTTCTGCCAATAACATCCTTTGCGACAGTGCTTTTAACAGGGTCGGCTCCATTCTTGGTCGGCGCATGATCCTCGACTTCGTCACCGCTGGCAGGGAGCTCGACGAAGTCGTCGCTGTCGCTATCGTCGGCGTCCTTATCCGTCTTCCTCTCCTCGAGGTGAAGTGCCGTCTGTGCGATCGCATCGCTAGCGTCCTTCTGGGAGGCGCAAGGGGTGAGGGCAACTTCGGTGACGACGTAAATCGGGCAGCCACAAATCTGCGCAACCTGCTGTCGTCGAGTGATCGTGATCAGGTAGCTGAGTCTCGAGACCGTGATCAGTCCTGTTCATCGGCCATGGTCAGCTTCGGGTTTGCGCAGCTGGAGCTGTGGCTGGGGAGCTCGGGGCACAAACCTATAACGCCGAAGGCCTCAAACGAGGAATTTGGCTGGGAAAGATCGGGGATCTGCTCACGATTTGCAGGGGTTATTGCAGAGTCGCCATATCTGATCCTGACCGGTTGCGCGGGGCGTTGTCCTTTGGTCACGAATGGCTGGATTATCAGGCCGTCAACCGCAGCGCAGATGATGATCTTGCGTGCGATACCGGGCATTGTGCGATGCGGGACCACACAAGGCGTGTGCGCGCCGGAAGACGAATGAAATTATTCTAGGGAAAAGACGAGGCCGGTAAAACTGTATGCAAAAGAGCCATGGACAGGGAGTAGTGCGAATTATTTGTCGGATTGGACGGATATTCAAACATTAACAGTGTTGGTCTGTAGGTGGGTTGGCGAGCATATCGCATGCAGGGGCAGAATGAGACGTTTTGGGTGCTGCGAACTGCTGATGATGTCGCCCAAATGGAACATGTAGCTATGACATGGGTGGTGGGCCGCGGGGTAACGTCAGTCTGCAGTTGCCCAGCGCGAGTCCAGGTCACGCCCGAGACACCGGTCCGATGAGTGGCTCAATGAGGTGGTTCGTCAGGTCAGGCCAGGTGCATCTGGTCCAGCGCTGTGTCTTCCAATGGACCATCGTCTGCTAGTGCTGGTAGGGTCGTTGCTGCGTTCTGAGCCGTCATTCGCTCGTGCGCAACTCAGCACATTTGCACTGGAGCTTCAAGCTTTCCGTCCAAATGTCCCCATTTCTTCAGCTGAGGCATTGGACGCAGGCGGGCAGCCTCCGTCCCTCCCAACTCAAGCTTTCCCACTAGCTCATCCCGACTCATTTCACTTGTAGCTGCATATTCAGGGCACATTGCATTTCAAGTTTTTGACGATCTCGATTGACGCTTGTCCGCGGTTTGTGCATGGACTAACCATGCACTAGACCTCAAGAATAACTAGTCGACGCCTATCAACAATTGAGACTATTTTTCAAGTATTCAGGCTGCTGCAGCTTGACATTGGACTAAAGATTTCTGTCCGTCTCAACCACTAACATCCAAACTGTTTCCAGCGCGTGTCCAGTCAAACATCAACGCCGCCCATTATTCTTTGTGATGGGTATCTTAGATGGCGAGTCTCTCGACCTTGTCCTTCAAAGCGCGGATGGGGCCGGCAAGCTCGCTGCCCTCGTTGGAGGTGATGGAGGCAGCAATGACGGCGCGGGAGACACCGCAGGCACGGCCAAGGGCGGTCTTGGACTTGACGTAAACGTAGGGGACGTTCTTGTCCTCAGCCAGGAGAGGCAGGTGAAGAACAATGCTGAGGGGGTTGGTATCACTGGCGAGGACGATAAGCTCGGAGACACCACGGTTGAGGGTCTTGGTGGCCTCGTTGGCTGTAGGAAGAAGTCAGCAGCTGTTTGGCGAGGACTAAGGATGAGGCGCAGATGGCGGCTTCAGAGAGACGGGAGGAGTCAAGGGAGCGAGACGGCTCGGGGACAAAACTTACCGCCCTTCTTCAGCTGGCGGTAGTGGGTGCACTGCTGAACCATGTCCAGAATCTCCTGCTGGAGAGCATCGTCGGCCAAGGGCCAGGCAGCGGACTCAGACATTGTTGCGGTGAGTGTCGAGAGATGTCTGCGAGAGAAAGTCAGAGTCTGTTGGTACAATCCCAAGCAGGAGAGTTCGAGTGCTGCGTACCAAAAGATATAAGGTGCAGGGTTCCTTGCGGTGGCTCGCCCTGGTCGTGAGGTCGAAATTCGTGATGAACGCGATGAAGAGATATCCAAAACTTTTTTCCTCCGAAAAGCGTAAGAAAAAAAAATTCCCACTTCCCCAAGCTTAACGGCAATTGCCGTTGGGGAGTGGATCTTGATGCGACAGGAGTGGAGGTCATCGGAACGCAGGTTCTGCCGTGCACCGCCTCATTCCATCAGGTGCCTCTCCTGACTTACGTAAGTGCCCGGAGCTGTCAACGCGCCGCAAAACCTTGCAACCAACCAGAAGGCCAACCTGGAAACCAGATCTTAACACAGCACACCTCATCTCGAGCCGTCGCCGAAGCAGCAGTCGAACCTCGCCCGTCCCAACCAGCCATCACCGCAATCGTCCGCAACCCACTCTTCGCCGCATCTCCTTCAGTTCCCGACCCTCTCTTCAACTTTTTCTTTCGACTACTTCGTCTTCGACGTCAATTAAACCGCCAAGATGCCTTCCGAGCTTTGGTACGTCAACAACACAGCCCGTGTTGCCCCCGTCCCGACGACAGCTCCCTATCCATCACTCAGAGCTCCCAACTCCATCCATCTCGCGCCCCAAACTCCCCATCTAGCTTCATCATGTCTGTTTAAAGCTCATATGCTAACGCGATCATGTCACAGCCCCGTCTATGCGGTTCGTCATCCCTGTGCCTCCTCGAGTCAACGATCCATGACGTCGCCTCCCCCCTGCCTCCATTCGAATGAGCCATTTGGGCATCGCCGATACATCGCGTCCGACAATCATCGCTAACTTGTCATTAGCCCTTCTTCGGTGCCATGGGCTGCACCGTCGCCATCGTCTTCACCTGCCTGGGTGCCTCTTACGGTACCGCAAAGTCCGGTGTCGGTATTTCGGCTATGGGTGTCCTGCGCCCTGACCTGATTGTCAAGAGTACGCGAATCCGCATCCATCGAGTCGTCGTCCACGACGCGCCCAACGCATGTAGACTGTTACTGACATTTCGCGACAGACATTGTCCCCGTCATTATGGCTGGTATCATTGCCATTTACGGTCTCGTCGTGTCCGTCCTTATCTCCGATGGTCTCCAGCAGGAGATGTCTCTCTACACTGGTTTCATCCAGTTCGGCGCTGGTCTCGCTGTCGGTCTGGCCGGTCTTGCTGCCGGTTTCGCCATCGGTATTGTTGGTGACGCTGGTGTCCGTGGAACTGCTCAACAGCCTCGTCTCTTCGTCGGCATGATTCTGATTCTCATTTTCGCCGAAGTCTTGGGTATGCGACGCCCCTTGCTTTCTGAATCGATACCTGGTTACTAACGAACGTGCTCCAGGTCTCTACGGCTTGATTGTTGCCCTTCTCATGAACTCCAAGGCCAGCCAGGACGTCACCTGCTAAACGACGACAAACCCAACGACGAAAATGCTCGGTTGAACGGTTGACAAGATGTACTTAAGCCACAACTAGCACGGGCATGAAATTGCCACATCATGGGCAAAGACAAGATTATCATCAGCAGGCGCGTCGAAATACTCGAATCGAATCAGGTTTTATGGCATAGGCGTGGAAAACGGTCAAAGGTCACGAGATGCCAATGTTTTGTTTGGACGGTCGGGGAAACGCTTTCCCCGTCGGATGTCAAACTTATATGTACTATTGTGCCATCACAGGTATGCTATCCATTTCTGGGGGCGGTTGCTCAGCATAGACGGTGGTGGGGATGGAATTGTAGTCTAGGTTGCGATAATGCTTTCTTGCGTCTACTCTGATTATTGGTCCTCTGCTAGTGATGTCTGTGTCAGTGTTCCCCGCAGTGATGTTGTGGTAAGCTCAACCAGACGACTGTTTGGGGTGTATGACGTCTTGGAATTTGCGGCGAACCTCGACCCCGAAAGCAGCACACCAAACCAAACAATTATGCCAGGTCGGAAGGAAAACAAGCACCCGTGCCAGGTCAACTCATTGGGGTTTTTCTTCTAACAATATTACTTGGTATGGGGACCACTAGATTCTTGAGGGGGACTTCTCAACGTCCTTGGATTAGGTAAACTGGCGTTTGTCCTCGTTCATCATGTGTAGTATTTTTGCCATGGCATTGCAGTAGCTACAACATGTGACGAGGCAAGGTCTCTCTGGATTCGCATATTCTCCTCTTCTTGTAGAAGGAAGTTTTGAGAGATTTGTCGATCACAGGCAGAAAACAGCAAAGTCCGGGAGCAGCAAGTGGTGGTTACAACAATAGTATGCTCGCTTAGGAATGAATCAAACCAAGTGAAGTCCTGATTAAAGTCGTATAGACTCTTGTGATTCTTGAGTGGGATTTTCGCTGTGCTCAAGCTTCTCTTTTGATGGGGGGATTTCGAGGTCAAAATGACTGAGAGCGATGGATATCATGATGATGACGGCGATGGAACACTCCTTTTTTTTCGTTACCTGCTCGCTATGAACGAACTCACCTGCCCACGTCACGTCCATCCGGCCTTTCGAAACACCTGACCTCTCTAGTTCTTTGCCTCCGTCGTGGGCTCTGCCGTGGCAGCCGCAGCCGCAGCAGCGGGAGCCTCCTTCTTGGGCAGCAGGCCGCGCAGGGACAGGTCGTAGACGACGTCCTCGACACGCTTGACGTCGTACTTGACCGCGTCGACGCGCTTCCTCAGGATGTCGTTCTTGAGGTTGAGGAGCTGGAAGCCGGCGAAGAGGTCCTTGACGAAGACGCTGATCTCGACGGGCATGGCGAAGTCGCCCATGGTGACGGCGTTGGTGGCGAGGCGGGAGAGCTCCTGCGTCACGTCGGTGAGGGCGAGGAGGTACTCCTCGATGGTGAGATGGAAGGCGTCGCGGTCCTTGAGGTTGACGGGGACTGTTGGGGGCGGTCAGCTGTCGTTGGGATAGGTGTTGTGGGATGGGTAGGAGGCGAGGAGAGTGTTCTTGGTACGCACCCTTGAAGATCTCGCCGACCTCCTCGAGGCTGAGGAGGCGGGCGACGGGGCCGGGCTTGCCGTCGGCGGTGAGGCCACCGAGCCAGCCGCAGAGGAGGACGGTGAAGATTGCGTTCTGGACTTGACGGTTCCACTTCTGGTTGTACCTGTTTAGATGTCAGTGACGTGCCTGGCTGAAGGGACTGGATGGGAAGCGGCTTACTTGTAGTAAGGGTACTTGGAGGCAATCTCCTGCAGCTCGCCGATGACCTCGACCTCCTTCTGGATGCCCGTTTGGACGTCCGTGAGCAAGGGACCATCTGGAGGCGTCCGTCAGTCTGTGTGGCCATAAAGGTTGGTACCGTGTACTGAGGACTCACATTGCTCGCGCGGGGTGGCATGAACGCGGGACAGCAGGCCCTGGACGTAGGAGATGGCCCTGTCAAGCTTCTGGACCGTCTGGCTCATCTGATCCCTAACCAGCTGGTCCTCGTCGATCTTATTCTTGAGGTGCTCGAAGATCTGGGGGTCGAGCAGACGGGAGGCGGGGACCTCGCCCATGTTGGTGTCGTTGTCCATGGCTGGCGTGGTGTCAGTACGCTGGGATGGGCTTCTACAGAATAGCCACCGTTGGGAGCAACGATGAAAGGATTAGATTGAGAGGCAGCAACTTCACGAAGAGGGACGGTAGATGCGAGAGATGGTGGTGAGATTGTTGTCGTTGGTGGATTGTGTCTGCCCCGTTATTTTGCACTTGCCATAACGAAGCCCAAAAAAAATCAGAGTTTTCAACTCACCTCGATACTGAATGTTTTCGCTTGACCAGTCGGATATGCCAACAGAGCAGAAATCAATCGACAATTCTTGGGCCGTCACCTGGAAATATGTGATGCGAATCCTGGGATGAGATTCTTACAATTCAGACGTCGTGCAAGGATGGGCAGGCGGTCACTGCAGGCGAGTGGAGGGGCGGCGGGAGAGACAAGGATCAGCATCGAGCAGACGGGGTGCGGTTCAATTCTTGGGATATTTTGTTTGCAGCAAATAACACAACATCTCAGCAATTCAATAACGCAAAAAATCACCAAACTTCGAAAGGGAGCAGAGGAAACCTTCTTCACAGGCCTGGACGGAACCAGACACAGCAATGAAAGTCGAGAGGGGTTCGCGTCTCCTGGAGGCAGTGAAATACCAGGGACACGGTGGGCATGAGGGCATACGGCAAGCCGCAGAGGCCACTCTCCCGAGAGATCAAAAATAAGAATAATCACGATTGACCTCCGTGGAGGTCTTTCAGAGATTAAACTGAAAAGAACAGATACTACACTTGATCTAAGCCAAAAGGCAATAGAGAGCTAAGGAGAAGAAGAGGAGAAAAGGTTGAAAATGGGCGGACGGTGGGAGGTGTTTTATGCCTTTGCTGGGTGGCCTGTGCGGAGCCCCCGATCAGCTAGGGTACGTACTCCAGGCAGCAGTGAGGCCATTTTTTTGCGGGAAGAAGTGTACAGGTACGTAGCTCACCCGGCGAGCACCTTCTGCTGATTGGACGGTAAATCATCACGAGGTTGAGAACGAGAAGGTGCTCCCTCTGTTTGCTTGCCTGGCTGGGTATGCCGACCAGCCAGAAGTTTCCATCACGTGCCATCAGGTCAGGTGCGGCTCGAGGCAGCTGCCTTTTCTGGCTTTCGAACTCCAGATTGGCCTCACTTCTGAGATGGAAAGCAAGAGAGGAAGGCAGGCACTTCAGTGTCGAACCTGTGAGGCTCTACGTAGGTACTTTGACCTTGAGTGGTGACGAGGCGTCACTCCTCAAGGCATCTGTAGATTTATCATCCCTCCGGATGGTTGCTCCTGATACAAAGGTGCATTCGCCCCATTCGCGCGGTCGGAATCTTGCCATAGAGTAAACAAGAAACAGGGAACAACACAAAAGCAGTACAGTATCTTGTTAGAAGCCTGGATCTGCCGAAGCCCTCCCAAGTGTGAGCGTCTCTGAAGCACATCCTCTATGGGATATAAAAGATCTGGCAATATTTACGGCAAGATCAAGCTGGGATCCGTCAGCAGACCGACTTTTGAAAATACCGTGATCGACCTCGACGGCTTGCATGGCTGCATAGGTAATGCGCAAGCCAGCAGGCATGCTTGCTTTTCTTGATGTTGGTCCAACGGGGACATCATAATCTCACTTGCACCTTCCGTGGCTCGCCGTGCCGTACCATTTGGTTGGCGCGGTGGAGAAGTGAGAAAGTACCAGTGACTAAGGCACCATCCGGAAGGACGAGACTTGTTTCTTCCTTTCCGGGCAAGCATTGCGTTTCGCCGGCTGGAGAAGGAACTGCTCCTGATCTTCCAAGGAGCATCCCATCCATCTACATGACGGAGACGCGGACATTTCCAAAACCGCCCCCCATCTTCAATGTCCGAGAATCCCACATGTCCAAGGGCCCGTCAGGTGCATGCCATGCAGGCGTCGTCTAGCAAAGGCTGGGGAAATCTCATTACCGTCCCCGGCATGGTTGATCGAAATGGGCATTTAATAGCTTAGCTAATGATAGAGGTAATCTCGACGGCCAACCTCGGACACTGCAATGGCGCTGGGCGGCTACTGCACGGTGCACCTGCAAGCTTCGTCTAGCAGTTCCGGCAGCGGGGTCGCCAACCAGGATCCCAATTCAAGCAAAATCAAGCTTCCCATTGGCCTGCAACCTAGACGAGACCTGCAGATGCGGGCCCTTGCACCGAGGAACCTCCCGAGGTTGGCTAGAGTAGGTACTTCGCATCTTGCGTACAGCTACACCAACAGGCCAGGTACCTCAATTTCAACTTTGTTCGTGACCCTTGACTACCGGCAGAAAGGGGCAAACACAAATGTCAACAAAATTTTGAGAGAGCACCAACCGGCGCCCAATCGAGTGCGAGGACACGCTTGCGATTTTTCCTGTCACTTGCGCCGTCCCGTCTCCAGCTTGACGTCCCGTCTTGCACGCCACGCCACGTTGACACTTTTCGTGCGCTCGTCCTCGCCCGGTCGTACTCGGATTCCCATCCTGACCGCCTCCACCAGACGCTTCCCTCCCTTCCTTCCAATGCCTCGGACGACTTGTCGATAACACACCAATTTGATCCCCGAACCCTGGCTGCCCACGCTTCAAGATCCTCGACCGTCACACGGACTGGTACGGCAGCTACACGAAAGGTGCATAACCCCACGTCCAGCTTTCCTGCACAGATATAAGAAAGCTTTCAACATGTCGGGCCGCTACTCCCTGCGCCAGACTCCCAGGTCAGTCTATTTACTTTCCATCTCGTCTCTGCATTTGAGGTTGTCGGCGGAAGTAATTGGGCCCATCGCAACCGTCCCATAAGACTCGAAATAGCAGTTGCGTACCGCCTTCCACTCGAAGTCAATACTCTGCACACTGAACCCGCCAAGCTCCAGTTCACTAACAGGTTGTTCAGGAAGAAGGAGCTCTTTGA